TATTAATTAGTAATCAGCTCTATTGTGCTGCAAAGCCCCTTAACATTGTGTAGCACGAAATGCACTCTTTTATAAATTTTTACAAGCTTGTTCAGGCCTCTATTTAAACATTGAAATTTAAACAATATGTTTGTAATTTTTAAAGATAAAATTAACAATTTTTAATGTATTTATTGTATCAAACTGTGATCCATTGTTATTCTTCATTAGGTGATGAGTCATTGATAATCAGTACTGCTCTCACTCGGAGTCTCTACAGTGGTAATTCTGGCTTTAAGGAAGTCTACAGGAAAGAATTATTAGAACATTTAAAAACTGACCCTCTTCTCCAAGACCTTCATGATGCTGGAATGGCCGACACCTCTCGACTCAATGCCCCTGCAATAATTGCAGATTGTCCATATTTAGGATCTTGTTCTCATATATGTGACTTTGGTGGTGGACTGGGGTCATTCCTGTATGCTGTACTCAGTCATTATGATTTTAAGATGAAAGGAACTAACTTTGATCTACCTGATGTCATTGATAATTCAAAGTGAGGAACTGATAGTGTTTTGTTATCTTAAACACACTGTACATGTTGTACTATATAGTGCAAAATTTTTGAGGGCTGTAAATTTTATGGATTTTGCAATTTTTGTAAAAATTATTTCTGCAAAAATCAAATTATTTACAGTACAAGATGGCATACAGCATAAATTTGTGAAAATTAAATCTGCAAAATTTTAAAGCAAATTTGCAAAATTTACAGCCCTCAAAAATAATTTTGCACTATGCAGTAATAGCAATTATGTCAAGCTTTGACAGTTACGATACACTGCATGCTTTGTCTTGAATATTTTGTTTTTTCTCTCTTCTTCATTTATCAGAGATTATGTGAAAGGTATGAATGTTGAGGAACACATTTCACTTGTGTTTATTAATTTTACTGACAAGCTTCCACAATTTGAGTAAGAACAATAAAACAATAATTATCAATAATTATCATCCTCTCTCTCTCCCTCTCTCAGTTGTGATTGTTACATTTTAAAGGATATTCTACAGAATTGGTTAGATGAAGATGCTCTGCTGATATTATCTAAAGTTGAATCAGTTGCTAAGAGAAATAAGAGTCGTCTTGTGATTATTGAGAACATGATGTTTAAAAATTTGTAAAAGATCAAAATTAAATTGGAATTAGCTCAAACTTTTTATGCAACATAAGTACATGTATATGCATCAGAAAATTCAACAAAAATGGAGAATTCTCTCCTTGTGCAGTTCGGCCTGTGCCCTGTACCATAGTACAGGGATTGGTCATATAATTTAGTCAAATTTGTACACTAAAACACAATATTATGTGTTTCAGTTCACAATGTTTGACCAAACTGTTTGTACATGTACATGCTTGAATTTATTTTTCTTTTTCCCCCTCCTCTTTCTCTTTTTCTATTTCTATTTCAGATAAAGTCATTTCTTGATCTCACTATAATGTCATTTAATCCTTCACATTCTCATCTCCATACAGTTGATGAATTGTTCTTTCTTCTTCAATCAACAGGTTTCACAGACCCTCAGCTTTACTTCACTTGTACTACCTACGTCATTGAAACCTATCCTAAAACTAATCAGTGATGGGTGGATTCAGGGGTATGGCTTCAAATTATATATATATATATATACCATAGTTA